TTCACTTTGAAGGTTGGGGACAACAAATCTGGAAAAACACTAGATGATGCAGTGCAAGAGGCCCTGACAAGAGAATCATTCTGGACACTTTGATAAAATGAGTAATGTTAAAGATCTTTCAAGGTTGTTATTTATATTTTTAGTATTTTATATTATTTTTGTTTGTCACAGAGTGAACTATACATTCTTCATTTGAAGATGGTGGTATAGCAGCATGATTTATTGCACTCTGGACTGTTTTTTTCCAGAGATTTATTTCAGATAAATGAACTGAATTTATCTTGGTAAAGTGATGTGCTTTTGGTTTAATGTTTGTATCTACTGTGTGTGCATTCATTTGGATTTGTTCAGAAAGCCGTTGTGTAGATCGCCAAAAAGCTGGGGAGGCACAAAAACAAATGTACTGGCTTTAGTTTCCTCTTCAGTTACAGACACAATAAAGAGCAGGAAGGTGACACCAACACTAATAGAGCAGCTTTTCCAGCAGTAACAGGTAAGAAACACCTGTAATGACTCTGTTAAGGAGCTTTAACCTTTTGGCAAAATAAGGGGATTTGTTAAAAAAAAAAAAAATCCAGTAACAATTTCAGTAACAAGCTACCAGAACTGGGCTCCGGAGAACGGGGCAGGGGTGGAAGACTGCAGTGGAGGAGAAAGAACAGGAGCGGTGCAGTCTGGAAGTAAGAAGTGGGTCAGTCTGCCAGAGGACCAGAAACTCAATTTCATCTGCAGTGTTAAAGGTAATGGTTGGGATGTAAAGGAATTGTTTAAAATTTGTATTCAGAAATTAATAATGTGTATTCAGTCGAAGTTATACTTTGTAAAGATAGTATTCAGAATAAAGTTACCTTTTGTGTTTTTAAGAGAATACTTTTAAAATACTTACCCACCAAATAAAAACACTGAAGTTCCTGCTGTCTGAGTAGACGGATAAATCAATGTGATGATCAGTTATTAATCTCAGTGTTACTGAGCTCTGCTAAAGCCTGAGTAGACTGATAAATCAATGTGATGATCAGTTATTAATCTCAGTGTTACTGAACTGTTTTGAGGGATGATCGAACTAATAATCTCCTCAGTAGTGGACATGTTTGGAAGTGATACATTTAGTATCTATGTTTTACCTGACTTGCTTGCGAGATTTTAGGAGCAGCAGTGACTGAAGCAAGTGGTGTGAAAGAAAAAAGTTAAGAATTTGGAAGAATTATAAATGGAAGAATTTCCATTTAAATGATCAGTGAATATTTCAAGAAACATAAACAGAATGATTACATGAAGAAATCAAACTGGGACTGGGACCAGTAACAGGGAGGAACAATGGGAAGTTAAAAACAGGTTTTTCCCATGTACCTTACCAAGTTGTGTTCTAGATGTATTGAAAAATGTATTCTAAATATATTCTGAATGTTACTTTTAAATGTATTTTAATGGAATATGGTACTGAATCTAGTTAGGACAGTGCATTCAGTATTCAACCATCATTACTGTTTCAAAATATTGTGGCATTGGCGTAGAAGTAGACATGGAGGATGCCAGTATTTCTGCTCAAGAAAATGCTCTTTTATTGAACACTACAGAAAAAGGCCACTGAAATACAGCCAGCATTGCGAGGAAGGTCACCACTAAGGTAACTTTGCTCCATAGTAGACTCTTAATCCATTGCTCAACACAATAACCACATACACACAACAACAACAGCATCAGTAACAACAACGTGTTTCTTCCATGCGCCCCTGAAGCCCCTTCTGAAATGTGCATGTGTGTCAAATACTGATTAAAGTTCTTTGCTTCTTTTTAGATTTCTAGAAGACAATGCAGGCTGTTCAACGAATCCTCAGAGTTCAGGATCTTACCGATCTTCAGCAACATTCTTTGGCTTCATACACACAAATAATCATAGTCAGTTCAATAATTAAAATATTCGTTTATTACCAGGGACTTGGGAAGGTGTTTTAAAGTTGGAGTACTGACATTTTTAGCAGCATAAAAGTGACATGAATAGTGACGTCATGCAAAATGATTTGTCTTGTTACTTTCTTGCCACATTTCTTTTCTTTTTTTATGATAATTATATTAAACAGAATGTGTCATAATGTGCTACGGTGTGGTGAGAGACTATGATATATATATATATATATATATATATATTATATATATATATATATATATATATATATATATAACTCACATATCAAACCACTGATGCACACCCTGATTACTCTGTTCTGAACAAACTTTATGCAAATCTGCTGAGCAGCAACCTATCACATTGTTGATGTGTGGTACAGAATACATTCAAGTACAGGACATTATTACATGATTTTTTTTTTTAACTTTAAAAACAATAATCAGCTTCTCTGGGGCTCAGAATAGCTCTGTATACATTTAGCTCTGTTTTCCTCTTTGCACCTCAACCTGCTTGTGTTTTAACAAAGTTTTGTGTGTTTAATATGGAACTAAAAGGTCTAATTTATTTATATACACATTGTTTAATAAATTTCATGTAATTGAGCTGGATTTGTAAAGGTCCAGCCTGAGCCGCCGGCTGCCAGCAGAGGGCGATGGCAGCACGGTGCCCAGCCTGCACCGCCGGCCGCCAGCAGAGGGCAACGGCAGTGAAGTGCCATGACTTCAGGGAACTCCAATTCCCAGAAGCCCTCGGGCTGACTAGGCCCAACCTGACACACCTGTGGACTCCTCTACTTGAGGCTGTGGCAAACAGCAGCCCTTTGTCACCCCTTTGTAGAGGGGTGACCAGTACGGTACACAGCCAAGGCGGGTATTTACATAAAAGGAAAAACAAAAAAAATAAAAAAGCAACAAAAAGAAAATAAAAAAGAGCTAGAAAAAACAAGAGAGTAACTGCCCCAAAATTACTCATGACACAAGAAGGCTTTAAGCCATACAAAAGGTCTTTGCTCTACGAGCAAACAAGTGAAGCATAAAGTCTGCCTTCCTGTCATAATTACAGTGGAAGTGCCTTTTGATTTCTCATTATCTTTTATTTCACGTTTCTAGTTCAGCCTTTGTTTGAGCACGCTGTTTTTTGCTGTTCTGTTGTTTGCCGATTTTCCCACCTTTTTTATCTCCAGTTCCTTGAGGCGTTTTACCTATTGTCGCCTGTGCTTCTCAGTGGCGCAGTGGTAACTCCATGGACCGCCAATCATCCGTTCGAGCCTGGCTCTGGGTCACCTCATCCCCAACGTGACAATTCACATCCCATTACCTCAATAAATTTGTTTAACACCCTTTTTCATGGTTTTTTGTCTTTGCACTTCCTTCCTGCCGTCCTGTAAGAGGATTGTGAACTGTAACAGGATCAAGCAAATCAACCTAGAGATAAACAGCATCTGCACCATCTGACCCCTATTCACAATCAGCCTTTCCAAAAACACCATTCAACATACATATGAAATCTCAAAAAAAAGCAAGTCTAGCACTTTATGAACTAGAAACTTCACTAATTTTACATTTCCAGCACTGTGTGACATGAGTTTATTATTACTACTATAAAGTGATAAAAACATGAGGATCCTATCTGTGAATGTTTCATCACATATCACACCATACAAAGCAGTTGGCCTTGTAGTCATTATCAACATGCAGGCTTGAAAGAGGAACAGACACATCCAGTTCATTTGAATGTGTGTTCCTGAAATCCTGATCAGAACTCTTTAGAGCAGGGGAATGAGTTACACTCCTGAAGGAGCAACCTCTAGTTTAGCTCTAAACTTAATCTACGACCTAAACCAGCAGGTTTAGTCCTTTACCTGCTTCAGTCAGGGCTGGCACCAGCTGTTGGTAGAATAGGCAGTTGCCTCTTTTGTTGGCGTATTAAGGTCCTGCCCCTCCCACCAAACAGAAGAAAGGACACTACAGATATGTTTGCTAGGAGTCAGAATCAGCTTGTTGGCTTTTAATAATAATAACATTATGATGTGGAGTGAAAGCATTGAAGAGGAGCTACACAATGATAAATTAAGCAAGTTCAAACAAAAGGAGCTGCATGTGATGCAACTACACTAATGTATTAGTCATATTACTAAGCATAATTGAAATTCTCTGCAATGTTTTACACCAGCTGCCTCAAAACTAGTGTGACATAAAAGTGCAGTCCTAATTATATTTTGTCATGTTACATCCTTTAGCTGAAAAAAGAACAACTGTGGCTTAAGCTATTTACTGAGAGGGTAAAGAGAAAACAGTAGAAAGGCAAAAAACGGAATATAATAAGAATAAATCGCAGAAGAAGGTCCACCAATCTCACTTAAGAGCTCTACTTCATATACTTCAAGTGGCTCTTGGTACAGATACTGAAAATCTGAAAGAACAACGTATCTTTAGTAGCTTTGGTCTAAATAAGTGGTGAGTAGCTGCACACTGCATCCTTAGGATGTGCTGGGATACATCATCAGTGATATCACTCGAGATCATCAGGTGTTTCAACATCAGATCCCCTCACAAAAGTGACCCGGCTGGTGTTGATCAGTCTCCAGCCTGGGTCCCAGCAGTGCTGGTCCACAGATCATCCTTCCTAATCTAATCCAAAGCAATCTGGAGGCTGTATCAGGAGCCTCTGTGATGGATCTATTGGTCTTTGAAACCAAGAACTTTGCAGAGTGAGCAGCCTACAAAGCCCCTACACTCTACTTTTACTGGCTGGCAATAGGCCAGGCCTACCAGCCCTGTCTCCAGCACTCCTCCACCAGCTCCTGGTATTTTCCTCTCATTCACCCTGTCATTCTAAATTCTGTTTGACATTCTGTATTTGCATTGATTTCCAACAAACTGGGTGCCACTGCATTGAACTGCTTCCCGAGAAAAGATATTTGAGATGTTAAAAAATGTTAAAAAAATAAACATTGGTATTCCTTTCTGACTGTTGTCTGCTTCTTGTGTAATATATGAATCTACTGTGTGTGCATTCATTTGCATTGGTTTAATGATTCTTCATGTAAATCATCATCATAAAAATGTAGAGGAGCACAAACAAGGAGAGTTGTTCTGGCTGTACTTTCCTCTTTACTTACATACAATAAACAGCAGGAGACACAAAAGCAGACACTAACAGAGTATTTTTACCAGCAGTAACAGGTAAGAAGCACCTTTAAGACTCTAAACACTGTGACTGAGCTTTAACTTACTTTGTCTTAACTTTATTCTTAATTTGCAGTTCAGAAAACAATTATAAATATTCTGTTATTTTCTGTAACTGGGGCAAAACACCAGAGAAAACATGTGAAGTTGTACTTGTAGTGTTGGATTACCAAACAGAGATTAAGCCTAGTTCTGGACTACCCAGCATTCTGAATGGTGATTCTTCCTTCAAAGGAAGATTTAGTCCAGACCAGGTTTAATACTGTCTGGAAAAGCAACCCATACATTTATTATTTTCTTAAAGATTATAATATTAGAAAGGCAGCAGTTGTTTGTAATTCACAGGGACAGTGATACTAAAAGCAGATCAAACTGTAGACAATATAGATGCTTTTGAAAAGGAAATATTTCTCAATTTAATTGTTTTGTGCTTGTTTGGGCTTCAGATTCACTGGATTCCTCACTTTCAGCTGCACATACTGCATAACTGTGCATATAGTCTTCTATTTTGTAGTTTGTTAGTTTAAACTAGAGATGATTTAATGATTCTGGTATCTCTCTTGGTGTCAGACACCAGCCAATCAGAGCTTAGCATCACCTGTTTATTAACAGGCTGCACCCAGGGGCATAGCAGCCATTTTAAAAGTAAGGGGGACACGGTTGTCAGTTAGGTTGTCAATAGCATTTGCTATATGATTTTTATTACAGACCACAGGCAATTTTTTTTGGCAGATCTAGAAAATTTTACTAGAGGTGGCAAAGGGGTGGCAGGGAATTTTGGCAGGTTGGCATGTTAATATGGCACTGCGGATGGGAGGTTGTTGACACTTGCTACGTGAGTTCATGCCAGCAGCCCTTTGTCCATGATGAATTGAATTCACTGGCCAATATCTTTTTACATAGTACAGATCTATTTAGCATAGCGCTGTTGTCGGGGGGAAAAAAGCCTCCTATCCACCTCCACCTTCCATAAAGACCCCTTCCTCCTGTGGGTTCTGTGGTTCTTTGCTCTTGTTATTTATTCCAGTCTCTATCAGGAGCTGCTGTCTGTTTTTATCTCAGGTATCTGCCTCACCGACACTGTGTTTATTTTCCTGTGATTTTGTACTCTGTTTGTTTGACTACTCTGTTGCCTGTTTGAAAGAGAAATAAAAATATTCAAAATTCAGATCAGTTTATTTTGGGACGTCCCCTTCCCCTTATTCCTCTCTGAAATCTTCTCCTCTTCTCTGCCTCCTCCCTTTTGAATTTTGTCTCATATGAGGAGGCAGGTATCAGATTCGGCCTCATGATTAATCTTTATTAATCCTATATTTTTTAAGTGCATGAAAAATCACCAGGTTTTTATAAACACGTTCCTGTGTTCATTAGCTGGAATTGTGCTGCATCATACTTTGTTGATGGTCAACTTTAGAGTGAATTATACTCATGCACATACTGCTAACATCACACTGCATGATCCACACAGTTTACTAGTCAGCTAATCTTTTAGATTCTTTTCATATGAGGAGGTGAGGAGAGAAGGGAAGAAGCAGGAGCTCACTAACCAAAACTAGAGGCTGTATTATTTCTGTTATCAAAATAAAATCCTCACAACAGAAACACAACACAGTGTTTCTTTGTCCAACTGTGGTAGTGGTAATAGCGTACATCACGTACACCTGCTGGCTTTAAAATCTGCATAAACCTCCAGTATCTGGAAAATCTTTATTAAACAGGTTCAGTATCTGACCAGACAGTTCATACGTTACTATTTACTGTAGTACTTGATCATATGAACTAACACATGCTGTTCTTGTAAAAACAGTGTTTAAAAATAAGTAGTTTTTAAAGTCACAATCTAATAATACTTTTTATATGCTGTTAACTACACTGTTCACAGCATTTTCCTATTGATACTACAGAGGAACATCTTCACATACACTTAGTAAAGACAGCTTTTCTTTTCCAACTGAACCTAAAATAAAAGATTTATATCCATTGTTAACAAGTTTTTTAGTATAATTGTTGTTTTCTTCATTCAGAATTTCAAAATAGAAATGTATCATCATTTCTTTCATTAAGAGCTTTCAATCTAGAACCTTTCTGTTCTTCTCAGATCCCTGATTGGGGCTTTGGATCATGTTACTGTAACTAAATGTAATGTCACTTAAACAGCATGATTTGATGTGCTGGTAGTAAAGACTGTTGAGGTGTTTAATGTGTGAACTGTGTCTCTCTTGTTCTCCACAGTCATGAGTTCAGCTCTGTATCTGATCCTGCTTTTCTCAGGTCAGTGTAGCTTCATGATCATCTGTAAAACTCTCTGCTGCTTCATTACTGTACTGTCATGCTGATGAGAGCTTTCATCTCTACAGCTCTGTGGACTCTCTCCTTCTGTGGGACTCGTCAGTTTCATGTGGTGAACGTAAATAAGAACTGGACTGACGCTCAGAAATACTGCAAAGAGAAATTCACTGACCTGGTAACCATTGAGAGCCAAGAGGAAATGGACGCTCTGACAGCTCTTCTCAATGGGAAAACGGGCCATTTCTGGATTGGACTGAGACAGAAAGAAAACGCGGACAACACTGTAAGCAGGAAAGAGAGAACAATTCATGAATCTATTTCAGTTAGTAACTGTTAATATGAAAAACAGATGATTAGGTGTCACTTGTTGTCTGTGTGCTTTATGTAGCTCTTATACATCTGAATATAACTAAATTTCACTTGTATTACTTGCTAAAGACTTAACTACGTTTATTCATTTATTCATTTTAAATATTGCACAAATAATATTAATGTCTTTAATATATTTTTAAATCATAAGTTTAAATACATTTCACATAGTTAATAACTTCTTCATATGAGAAAGTATGTGTACACTGTATTAGTGACAGTGACATCTAGTGATTTTTGTTGAAACCAGCTGTTCTAGAAGAATCCTAGACTTTTATTTAATTATCTAAAAATAATCCAATTTATTACAAGAGTTTATTTTATGTTCTTTCTAAAGTTTTTCTTTTTAAACATTTCTAGCGTTTACAAGGAGCTGCTGCTGGGCCGCCGACAGGGGGGGTCAATAGGGTATGCTGTCCTGAGCCTTGGATCCGGAGAAGTATCTCCTAAGATACAGCAGATACAAATACATTTTATATATTTTCTTTATTCTTGTTTATTTTCATTGCATTTCCTGTCTTTATTTAAATGACTGAGATGAACGAGTGTCAGTTTCACAGCTGGTGGAAGAGGTTTAGTGCTGCAATATTTGAAACATCAATAGAAGAGGACCTTTCGCTAAAAAGCCCTTCCTCTCCACAATGATTGTCCAGTCATGGCTTAGCAACTGTAACTAGGCTCAGTCACCTCCAACCAGAACAATATTCTGCAGTGTTATAATTTGGATACCTGAAATAATCAAAATAATCCACCACATGAAAAACAGAAAAAAGTATTTGTTCATTAATTTGTTTGTTCATTTGAATTACAAACTCTCTCCTGCAATATCACAGACCCCATAAAGCCCCACAATGCAACAGCTACTCACTAAAATCCCCATAGGACTGTAAGAATGATTATTTAGTATGATATTGAGTAATGAATGCAGAAAAAATTTACTGATCAGGTATTAATTTGTCTTTAGTGCTGGATCTGGTCAGATGGGAGTAACTTCTCATACAGCAACTGGAACAGTAATGAGCCAAACAACCCTGGCACTGATAACTGTGGAGAATTATGGAGTAATAAATCTTACAGGTGGAATGATGCAAGCTGCAGTCACACAAATCCATCTGTCTGCTATAAAAGTGAGTCATATAAGATGATGAACTGTAGTTCATCTGTTACACATCCAGTACATTTTTCCAGTTACTTTTAATGTTTAAGTTTCACTGACTCAGTACTTTAATGTAGATCTGAATAGTGAATTTATAAAGACTCAAACACAGAAACACATAGATAGAAACACAGCTAACTGTATGATATTTTAAAGAAATAAGGCAAAAAATAACTGAAATATTTGATGTAATGTTTAAATATTTGTTCTAACCCTTCTGCAGAGATTCCACTCATCCTGATTAATCAGACCAAGACGTGGAGAGAAGCTCTGAGATACTGCAGAGTGAATCATGTGGATCTGGTCTCTGTTCACACTGAGGAAATTCAGCACTGGGTGGAAACAGCTGTTTATTATGCCTCCACTGCTAATGTGTGGATGGGTCTGCATCACACCTGCACCCTGAGCTTCTGGTTCTGGGTGAGTGGAGTGTCGATCTGCTACCAGAACTGGGCTCCGGGGAACGGGACAGGGGTGGAAGACTGCAGTGGAGGAGAAAGAACAGGAGCGATGCAGTCTGGAAGTAAGCAGTGGGTCAGTCTGCCAGAGGATCAGAGACTCAACTTCATCTGCGCTGTTGAGGGTGAGACAGAGGATTATATATCTGTCCATAATTAAATATTGATGGTGAAACAAATACTGCTGGACATTTTTTGCTTCTTTTTAGAGCTCTAGAAGAGGATGCAGGCTGTTCAACTGGATCGTCACAGTTCAGGATCATAATGATATTTGATAGCCATTTCTTCATCATGATGATTCTGATGTGTTCTTTAACATTCAAACACAACAATTCAGTTTAATAAGACAAATATTCATATATCACTGAATAAGGCAGCTCCTTTTTATGCCAGTAAAATGAGGGAAAAAAGTTAGTCTCATAATGGAAATGTATGATATTTCTCTTAATTATTCTTGGTAGATCAGACACAAAGTACAGCATGCTAGATAATTTCTAAAGAAAAAGGTGGGAGTGGTGAAAAAATCTAATGTTTTAATAGGATATAATCTGATGTTCCCACATGGTTTCACTCTTCTGTGCTAATAACTGTTATTTTCATCTTTGTATCAAACATCAATCCATTCCCACAAAACAGTTTGTAAGTGATAAATGTTCTCACTTTCACAATGTTTATAAATTGTATCTGAGCTGTTTATCTTATCTGTATGCAGTGTTCTAAACTTGCTGTGTGTGATACCAACATTCTTATTCTTATACATATCAATATTTTTCAAAGAACATAAACCTTTATTAAACCCCTGTTTTACATTGTATAGGCTAAAGTAATGCATTGCAGGTTTAAAGTAATGAATTGTTAGTTTTATTTCTATTTTTGAACTATAGAATGTAGGTTACTGTTCTTCTGTGTTCAGTCAAATAAATAATTGTGGTAAAGATTCTTGACACTTGTACATTATAGTCAACGTTGGTGTCTGTGCAGCTGGGAGCTTTCCTAGAACATCAAGAATCACTTTGACACAAAAATGACTTTGGACAGAATTATCCCCGGCCTAGGTAGCGAGTGTTGAAATATCACCAGCAGCGGTTGCTATTGCTAGCTCTGCATTGGATTAAACAAGCATCTAGCTCTGTTCAAGAACCACACAGCACTGAAAAGCCCCTCTCAACATCCTGCCCACAGTGTTTGATAGATGGAAGTGCCTCACTGACAGTGAAAATGCAACTGCAATCCTGTTCGCAATCGCATTTTCACTGTTTGATTGACAAGAGGGCCTCGCTCACACTTTCAAATTATTTCTCCACTTAACAAAAATAGAGGTAACTTTTTTTGTTTAATGGACAAAGAATTTGCAAAATATTGGGTTTATCTTGGGATACATCATTAAGGTAACTCCTGTAAGTCAATTGTAACTCCTGTGAAGCATTCTAACACTGCTTAAGTTTAATGTATTGTTTGTATTTTGATTTGTAGGCTGTAGGTCACTGTTGTTTTACTGCGCTTGCACAAATAAATAAACTGTGGTGTCAAATTTTGAAACTAGACAGACAATTTTGTTCTGGCTGCTTTCCATCAGATACAAGTTGATTCAGAGAGGGTTAAGCTCTTCTGTTATTCTCAATGATCTTGTATGTTCGCTGAGTACATGATTTCCCAGTTACACTGAATTTCACACAGGCCTGCATTCAGCTAAGTCTTCAATTCAGACAAAACATTTTCTTCAATTTTAAAATACTGCAGTTTTCTGAAGTAAATCACTAACATCTATTTTAACAATCATAGTAAACATGATGCTGTCTTGGTGTAAATTATGAGTTTTTGTGGACCAGCTTGCTGATGCTGCAAGTTTTAAAGATGCAGATAGTGATAGAGCTACTCAATGGCTCAGCACAGGCCATGAAGTCAGGGACAACATAGCTGAAAGTCAATGGAGCCAGACTTTTCTTCAAGTAATTTCTCTTGGTCCTTCATGAAATTTACATAAAATGTATAGGGCAAGGGGTTCTCTAAAATTGTCAAAAACTGAAAAACAAAAAAATTGGAGAGGTTTTATTCCAACAGCAGCAATATATTAATAATGCAAGGCAGATCTAATTTCTAGAACTTTCCTTATCTAGTTGTAAGTCTCTCAGTGGAAGATGATTTTGTCCCAGCTGGGTTTACTGTGCACTGGATTGCAGAGAATTTGGCCTGTGTGTCAACTCGCATTTATACTCCAGTGAAACAGGAAGTCAAAGGTGACCATATAAGTGTTCCCAATTGTTTAGGTAAACATTAAAAAATATAAAATATGAATGGAAACATAATTTAGTTAGATTTTACAGGAAAAAATGTAAAGTGCCAACAATTGTGGTACACATAGATTTGAGAAAAAATATTTATTTCATTATAAGGTTAAGGTTTATTTCAATGTTTCAAATAAAGGTCAGATTTTTGTTAATATTTTGAATGAAGTACCAAAAAGATGAGCAATAAATGATGTTTTTCACAGCCCCTTTTTTCATGTTTATCAGGGGTGCCGATATTTGTGGAGGGCACTGTATGAAGTAATGGAAACATGAGGATCCTAACTGTGAATGTTTCTTCACCACAACAACATGCAAAGCAGATGACCTCATGGTGATGATGGACACATGAGGATCCTTACTGTGAATGTTCTTCACACGCAATATCATGCAAAGCAGGTGGACTTGTGGTCATTATTGACATGCAGGTTTGCGACACACCCAGTGACAGACACACCCAGTTCTACTGAATATGTGTTCCTGAAATGCAATACTCAAAGCACACAGCACAGAACGGTTTAGAGGAGGGGGATGGGTTACAGTCTTGGGGAAACAGCCCTTAGTTTGGCTCCAAGCTTAATCAAACACCTAAGTGTATTGTGTTACCAGCTCCAATCAGAGCCAGACAGGTGCCTAGAGCTTAAACATTGCCAAAGTCTCCATATCACTGCTCTGCATTGACAAAAAGAGTTAATGAGTGTTTTATTCTTGGTTATCACTTGTCATAAGACCTATCAGTATGACTGATTTAAGATGGGGCCCCCCCACTCTCTTTGTGAAGAGATCGGATCGGCCCATGTAGAGTCCAGTTTCGTCATATTCATAATGAAATTTTAAAGGACACAGTGAGTTATCTCAAATCATCCACTTGCAGTCTTAACAAGTTATCAACGAACATTTTAAAAAATGTGTTTCACGCAATATCAGTGGAAATACTTCAGATCGTAAACATCTCAATCATTTAGGATGTTCTTCCTAACACATTCACAACTACAGTTGAAGCCCATCTTAAAAAAGAAAAATCTAGAAGCAACTCAAGGAGCTACAGACCTATTTCAAAGCTACCTTTCAGTGAATAAATCATTGAGAAAATTGTCTTTAAGCATAAATGTCTTTAAGCATATTTAATGCTTTCTGTTGTTACATTGCTGATCAGACAAATTTCAGTCAGGATTTCAGCATAATCATAGTACCGACACAGCTCTAATTATGTTTACTAATCATATTCATTTAAATACAGACTCTTCTGATCGATCTCAGTGCTGCCTTTGATACCACTGACCATAAAATTCTCAGATATACACTTGAGAACCTGGTTAATCTCTCAGTCCTAAAATTGTTCTGTTCATAACTGCAAGGAAGGAACTATTTAAATAATGTTTCTGACAGTGTGCCAATGACATATGGTGTGCCCCAGGGTTCTATTCTTGGGCCGCTCTTATTTAATTATACATCTTTCCTCTTGGCCAAATCCTAAAATATTAGGGTATATCTGACCACAGCTCTTACTACAGCTATGCAGATGACACTCAGGTTTACCTCCTCCCCAAACAACTATGGTCTTCCTGATTCACTGTGTAAGTGCTTTGAGCACATCTCTTACTGTGGGAGGCACAATGAGTTGCCTATCTGTGCTCGAGGAACTAGCACATAACCTTGGTGTGCTAATGGACTCTGATGTTAGTTTTAGCTTCATGTCAAAGCAGTCACTAAATCAACATTTTATCACCCTAACATTAACAAGATTAGAGATATTCTGATGAAACCAGACCTGGAGAAACTCATCCACACCTTTATTTCTAGCAGGACTGATGACGGCAATGCTCGCTTTGCTGGACTCCCAATAAAAAACAATCAGACAGCATCAGTGGCTTTAAAATGCAGCTGCCAGAGTCTCACGAGGAGTAAAAGAACGGAACACATCACCCCCAAACCCTTACACTGGCCACCAGTATGTGACAGTACAGACTTTAAGGTGCTATTTCAGGACTATAAATCACTCAATGGTGCAGGAGCAGCACATTTATTTGATATGTTGCAGCGATATGAGCCAAGCAGAACTCAGACATTAATAGAAACTAGTCAGTTAGTCCTGCTGAAGGTGAAGACTAAAATGGAGAAGCAGCATTTAGCTACTATGCTGCTCTTGAATAGAACTGGTTGACAGAGAGCATTAGAAGAGCTCAGACACTGGACACTTTCAAAACTGGGCTGAAAACGTTCAGCTTTTAGCTCAGTTTAAAACACTGTTAGTTCCACTGGACTTCTATCCTCTAACGCCACTTTAGTGTCCTAATTTTTAATTCTATTCTATTCAAGTTATCCGGGGTTTTTAGAAAAACAAAACAGTCCAACAACACCAAAGATGCTTTGACATGATTGTACCTCATCACAGATGAGGTACTTTTCTGCATGGCTCACGTCTGGTGTTTGTTTCTAAAAAGCAAACATGGTCCCACTGAAAGATTCAGGAACGTCTGGCAAACTGTAGGTGCGTGAGTTTGTTGGTCCTTGACAAACTCAGAGGCTTTCTTCTGGCAACCTCCCCAAAAAACTTATGGTAACCTATATTGTGGTTTGGGAGACATTCTGACCCCAAGACCAGATTAATGCCTGCAGTTTCCCAGCTGAGATCCTTTGAGATTCTTTGTCCACTTGAACCATCCTCCTCACTGTGCATGGGGTCACATATATACGTCCACTTCCCAGCGGAGAATTTGGCCTGTGTGTCACCTCACATTTATACTCCAGTGAAACAGGAAGTCAAAGGTGACCATATAAGTGTTCCCAATTGTTTAGGTAAACATTAAAAAATCTATGAAATATGAATGGAAACATAATTTAGTTAGAATTTACAGGAAAAAAATGTAAAGTGCCAACAATTGTGGTACACATACATTGGGTTTTTTTTTCACTGTTTCAAATAAAGGTCAGATTTTAATATTTTGAATAAAAGATCAAAAGGATAAGCAATAAATAATGATTTCTACAGCCCATTTGGCTCATGTTTATCAGGGGTGCCAATTTTTGTGGAGAGC